GGGTTGGGGTTTTTTTTGGGGGGTTGTCTTTTTGAAGCAGGTTCTCCCTGTAGCCCCAGCTGTCCTGGAACTCACTGTGGAGTCCAGGCTGGACTTGAACTCACAGAGATCTGCCTGCCTCTGCCTCCCAAGTGCTGAGACTACAGGCATGTGCTACCATGTCCAGCTTAAATTATTTTATTTTTAAAAATTAAATTACTTTATATGTATAAGGGTATTGCCTGCATGTGTGTTAGTGCACCTATGTCATTCAATGCCCGTGGAGGTCAGAAAAAAGCGTTGGATTCCCTTGGAATTGGAGTTATGGAAGTTTGTCAGCTATCATGTGGGTGCTGAGAATCAAACCTGGGTCCTTCTTCAGTGATGTTAACCACTGAGCCTTGTATCCAACCACAATAAAATAATTCTTTTAAGAGAAGTGTGTGGGTGTCAGCATGACTTGGGTTGGTTATCTTGATTATAAAATTGATAGGATTCAGACTCACCATGGAATTAAAACTGGGGAATGCTGTGCGTTATTATCTAGATACCAGAGGTGGGAAGACCTATCCCAAATGTGGGTGGGACCATTTCAGGAGCAGGGGTCCAGGGCTGAATAGAAAGGAGAAAAGGAACTAAGCAAAAGCACTGGTATCTCTCAGCTTCCTGACTGTAGAACCATGTGACCAGCCAACTCCTGCCTCTGCTGGCTTATCCTCCCTTTATCTCTATATCCCCTAGAACCATAAACCCAAATCAACCCTCCTTTCTTTATGTTGCTTGTTTGGGTGTTTTGTCATAGCATCAATAGAAGTAACTAATATGCATTCATATGTATATGTTTATTCCCTTATTAATAACGGGAAAAGAGAGAATTACTAATGTGGGCAAATTCTGGATGCACTAAGAGAAGATTCTTAGGGATTTCACAAATTTAACTGATTTAACTGCATGGCATTTTTAGTAGCCAGATTTTATGGACCCCATTTTATATATCATCAACATTGCCATTTTGAAACTCTATCCCCTAGCATATGGTATATAGGGATAGGGATTGGAGGCGGGGGTAAAATTCAAATGCAGTCAAGCCAGTGGAGCTCCCGTGATGGTGTTAATGTCCTTGGAAGAGAACAGAGTAGAGCTGACTCTCTCCTCCCTGGCATGTGAAAAGAGCAAAGCATAGCCCACTAACACTAAGGAAGAGGGTTTATGACTGAATCTGAAATGTTCCCATGGACTCATTTTGAATGTTTGGTCCCCAGCCTCCGGCACTCTTTTGAAAGCTGTGGGAAGCTTTAGAAGGTAAGGCCAGTGAGCAGAAGGTGATCACTTACGGCAAGCCTTTGAAGATCATACCCACTTTTCAGTTCCAGTCTGTTTTCTCTGCTTCGTTGTTGGCCAGGATGTGAAGACGTCTCAGCCACATGGTGCAGTATCCGTGAACTCTACTGTACCTTCCCTGCTAAGATGGATTGAAACCCCCCAGAAAGTATGAGCCAAAAAAGATACTTGCTATCTTAAGTCACTTCTTCTGGGCATTTTGTCTCAGCAATGAGGTAAGTGACTGATAATGCAGGAACTTAGCCATTCTAGGACAGTTTTGTTCCATTTCCCAGTCTCCAAAAAAGTAACAAATGATTTTCTTCTATTTGAGTCAACAGGTTTTTCTATAGTATTTTGTTGAAGTCATCTGAAATGACTAAGGTACTAGGCAGTTTTTATGTAGGAAAGTTTCATTATTAAGCAGAACAACTGAAAACAGGTCATAAAGGCAGGGGCAAAAACGGAAGACAGCTAGAGAAGGAAGACATGAACAGCCATCTGTCAGAAAGAAGCAGGGTGCTGGTTCAAGAGACCATGAAGCAGGGCAGAGTATTATATTGGGAACAAGAAACAAAGAGACCTATTGAAACGTTCACTTGCATTCTCAAGGTAGGATGGTCAGCCAAGTACAGCTAATTAACAGTGAGCAATAATTAAACATAAGTGCATGCTGAGAACTATCAACACACCAGAAAGAACAAAAGCAAATTTAAGAAACAATAGGAAGTGGCGATTTTCTGAGGGCAGAAGCAATATTCATTTTAAACAGACAGAATGATTATTAGGAAACTAAGATGGGAGAGCTGGGGTAGGTTAAAGATAAGGGAAGACGAAGATAAAGATGACCAGAACAAGAATGTTCTGAGGGTGACCTTGTGCCGTCCTTTAGGAAGGGAAAGCATTTGCCTGTGTTAGGTGCTTATCAGAGCTGAATTTAATGGAGTAAATTAAATACAAAGTTGAAATGGAGCTTCTGATTATGTAGACAAAACTGAGTCCTTTTGTCTGGGAGTTCTGGCTCAGGCCTGTGCCAAGCAAAAACAACCTTCGTACATTGCATCACCATTTTGTCATCTACATAGTCCACGCTTGGGAACTATGCAGTTACAAAGCAAACATTGCAAAAAACCTCATAATGTTTGAAGTAAAGTTACTATTTTCTGTTGGACCACATTTATAACTATTCTGGGGATTAGTCTGCCCTTAGGCTGCAGGTAGGAGATGCCTGGGAGTAATCCCAGCATTCAGAAGGCTGAGATAGGAGGGTTGACAAGAGTTGAAGGCCAGCCTGTGCTATGTACCGTGTTCCAGGTCAGAGTGGACTGCAGTGTGATATCCTGTCTACAATAACAAAGCACAGATAATCATTATGAACACTCATTTCTGTCTTGTGTTCTTGGTAGTGCTTTGGTTCTTCATAAAAATGCAAGTAAAACCTTTAATCTACCCAGGTCCTCTGTACCAAAGAACATGAAAAATATTATTTATGGATTAAATATCTAATCACTACTATTACTTTAGTTTTCCAACCAAGTTAATCATCTTAGTAGCACAGAAACGTATGTGAACTGAGTTACTTTTAGTCTCTGAATTTAGACCTCTGTCTCTAGAAAGCAAACATGGAATTATCATTCCCCCAGCCCCATCATCCTTATTTCTCTCATCTTTAGGCACAGTTATTTCAAAATAGCATGGTGTGAACTAGATCAGTGCCTAACTTAACTGGGTGTCCCTGGGTGAGGTCCTGCCTGAGCATTTAGAGCTGTAATTATTTTAAGGTTAAATTTTCATACAGGTCCTATTCTTTTGTTAAAATTTCAAAATGTTGTAGGTGATCAGAAAACTATTTCTTCATATCTGGATTTAATAAAGTACACTGAAATAGAAAGTAATTTTTTAAAGGAAATATTATTTTTGTGTCAGGTATGGTGTCATATACCTGTAATGCTAGTGCTCTGGAGGTAGAGGCAGGGAGATCAGAAATTCAAGGTCACTCTGGGCTACACAGAAAATTGGAGAACAGTCTAGATTATATGAGATGCTATCAGAGGAGGGGGGAGACAGAGAGAAAGGCAAAGAGGGAAAAAAAGGGCAGAGGAAGGAAGGAAGGAAGGAAGGAAGGGAGGGAGGGAGGGAGGGACACAAGCTGGGCTTACAGGGAGACACTGTCTCAAAAAGACACAAAGAAAGAAAGAAGAAAGGGAGGGGGAGGGGGAAGGGAGGGGGGAGAAGGGAGGGAGGAAGGGAGGGAGGGAGGAAGATCATATTATGTCATTATGTTGTTAAAATGAGAAGAAATTACAGTGCAATTTCAGAGGTTGGGCATGTCACTCAGTTGGTATAGTACTTTCCTGGCATAACCAAATCCCCGAGTTTGAGGTCCAGCATTTCATAAAACAGGTGTGGTAGTACATGCCTATAATCCCAAAACTTGGAGTGGGAAGCAGGAAGATCAGGAGTTCAAGGTGAGCCTCACTGCTGCATCCCAGGTCAGACCAGGATATATGGGAAAAATACATAGTTTGTGGTTTGGAAAGGCAGGACAGAGAGTAAAAGATCATTTCCAACAAAAGTTCCAGTGGAGTTCTTCCCAGTCAGTGTGGATTCTCTTTCTGCCGCTACTTCTGTAGTCCTTTTTCAAAGAAAAGTTCAAACTGCTTGTATTTAAATATTTCTGGGTCTTTCTATAATACATGGTATTATACAGGGAAGAACTTTGGCTAATGTCTGACATAATTCATTTCAGTGAAGGCAGTTGCCTTATTATACAAGGATTTGATTTATAAATTCTAGCTATTTTAATAGACCTGGGACTTCCTCATACCATCTCCAGAATTCTAGCTTCCTCAGACTAAGAAGTCAAAGGAGGAAAGACAGAGCTACAAAATAAGTCACCAGCCTCAGTAACTGCAGACAACCTCTTTTAAACATTAAAGAACTGACCACCTTGGAAAAATGATTGGAATTTTCTTTTTCTTTTATATTTCTTTCAGTATAAATCAAGATTATCAGAAAAACAATACCAACAAGCAGTTTTCTGGCTTAAAAGAAAACAATATGTATTTAGTGCCAGGGAGGAAGACAACCTGGTGTACTGAATTACTTCGACCTCATGTATATTGAATTACTTCAGCCTTTCTTCGTCCTTTGGCATGATCTACTGCTGAACTCTCTCCAGGACAGCTTGCTTTGAAGTTCTAGACACATTCAATCAACCCTTCAGATCACATGTATCCCAAAGAATGTGATTTTCCAAGTATGAACGACCAATCAAGCCCTCATTCTCCTTTAATTTGGCATTATAGACCCCTGCAGATTCCCGAGGAAGAGATTTTTTATGTTGTACCTCAGATACAGCCATCAGTGTCATTATTACCTGGTATGGGAGCACCTCTCTTGCCCTGAGAGAGAGAGACTGGCTCCTTCACCGCTGATTGTGCAAACATTCATAATTATGCCTCTAGGTAAACACACTGCTGTCTTCTTAGAAAAAATGAGAAGTACAAAGCATGTTTATGTGCAAGTCCAGCCGTTCCACCTATTGCTCTTTGATTTAGACACACCTGAGCTACCATCCCCCTATTGGCTAAGAAAGTTGCCACACCTGATTTACAAGCTTACTGTTGGAAACAATTGAGGGGGGGGGTGCCTTACCAGCCTGCACTGGATTTGATCTAGTTAGAATGAGCAAAGTCAGTCTTATTGAAAACACACTAGGCTCTGAGATCATTACTGCAGGAAAACTGTTCTCTCCTGAAGACGAAAAGCCTGCTCCAGAGCAGCCCTACCTCTCAGTGTTCCAAGAGGACCATGGCCACCTACGTTCTGCAAATGGCTGGACTGGTTCTTGGTGGTGTTGGCATGGTGGGCACAGTGGCTGTGACGATCATGCCTCAGTGGAGAGTGTCTGCCTTCATCGAAAGCAACATTGTGGTTTTTGAGACCCTCTGGGAAGGCCTGTGGATGAACTGCATGAGGCATGCTAACATCAGGATGCAGTGCAAGATCTACGACTCCCTGCTGGCTCTGACTCCAGACCTGCAGGCATCCAGAGGACTGATGTGTGCTGCTTCCGTCCTGTCCTTCTTGGCTTTTATGACGGCTATCCTCGGCATGAAGTGCACCAGGTGCACTGGGGACGATGAGAACGTGAAGAGCCGCATCCTGCTGACGGCTGGATTCATCTTCATCATCACTGGCCTGGTGGTGCTCGTCCCTGTGAGCTGGGTTGCCAATTCCATCATCAGAGACTTTTACAACCCGATAGTGGATGTTGCCCAAAAGCGTGAGCTCGGGGAAGCCCTCTACATAGGCTGGACCACGGCGCTGGTGCTGATTGCTGGAGGAGCGCTGTTCTGCTGCGTTTTTTGTTGCACGGAAAAGGACAGTAGTTACAGATACTCCGTGCCATCCCATCGCACAACTCAAAGGAGTTTCCACATGGAAAAGAAGTCCCCGAGTATATACTCCAAAAGTCAGTATGTGTAGTTGTGTGTATCAAGTTTATCTATTAAGAGAGGCAAATTGCTGAACTATCCACTATTTCCTGATGGAAGAACCAGAGAACATCACTTTGCCATTCTTAACTGCCTAACTGTCTTTACAGGAAATATGCACTGTCTACGATTCTATAAATTGTTTCAAGGGAGGGAGGTATTGTGCACACTGCTTTGATTGATCTAAGAAGTAGTCTTTGGTTCACACAGCTCTTTCTTTTATCAGTCACTTCAAAAGGCATAGCTAAAGACTTAGTTTAAGCCGTGATTTCTCTGTGTCACAGCATTGTGTATGTAGATGGGCATGACATTCATATTTCACATAGAGACAAGATTATGTGGTTCTATTTAAAGTGAAGTACGGATCCATCACACTGAATAAACAGAAATCAGCCATTGCTTTTCAGGGGAATCAGGGAAAAGAGTGAAGGGGGCTAGTATTAATTGGCTAAGAACAGCTTAAGGATTAGTGCACTCTATTTATAACAAAGGCTGAAATGAAGGTTTTAATCATTAGTGTAAAGGAAACTAAATGACTTTGCTATCCTATTTTGCAGCCTCTAGAATTTAGAAATCATAACTCCTTTATCCTCCCCGAGAGGCCATCCTTTCTTTGAACACCAAATCAATGTCTTTTAAAAAACTAATGTTTTGTCAAAAGATTTTGTTTTAACTCAAACTACTTTTCCAAGGCTTCACTGAGAAGAGAGATAAAGCTATGGTGTAATAAAATGCAATAATTTCTGGAAAATGAATTTATCTTAATTTTCATGTTTGGAGAAGGTTGTAGTTTTGATATTCAGTCATATTTTTATATATGCATATATATGAGACTATTCATGAACTGTTTGAGTATAGTCTTTGGAATTTTACCAGTATATGAAGGAGAAAAATAATATGCTTTGATTTTCATTTTCTTACCAAAAAATCCTTCCAAACTTGTTTTTTCAGAGCTCTAGCTGCTTCTGGATCAAAGTTGTCATTTCAGTTCTATCAGAGGTGATTTTCCTGTGTTTACGCTGTTTTTGTTGAGTTGTACTGAAGCACGGCTCTGCTGTAAATTCCCTCCCAATCTCCCTCAACTGATAATCCACTTTGAAAGTTTGTATATATTGTCTACACATTAATGAAATGACTATGTGTGTTATTTGCTTTGTGTAATTTATATTAATATAGTACAGCCTTTACAATTATATGGCATTCTTACTTTTTTTGTTTTATTACATTGTAAAATTTTTTGAAACTTGATACATTTTTAGTTTTAAACACAGAGTCTATGTTCATCTTTGAGAATAGTATATAACTTAGTACAAACATGTTAATTCTAATTATTAGATGTATACACCAACATCTGGTGAAAATACTATATTGGTATTCTTTCAAGTTAGTACTTAGATTCAACAAAATGTATTTGCTGTAACTATTATGTATGCAGGCCATCATGTTTTTAAAAAGTTGCTCATATATATTTCAATCTCTGAGAAATGATATGAATTACTAATAGTGATGAATGACTTTGGAATATATAATATTTATGTGAAATATATTGTTAAATCTTCTGTAATATTGATAATATCTTTATTTCGATTAAAAAATGTGAAAACCACAAAAGAGTTCATTGATTACCTGTTAAAGATAAAAAAAATACAAGGATCGGCTTCATAATTGAAGGTCCTCAAGAAAGTAATTTTTTTCGTTAGATTTAGTTTATAGACTAAACTGTGAAATGAAATGTTCAACTACTGTTTGTTGGGAAAAGCTTCAGTTATTTATTTCCACATAGGAAATGTCACTATACAGAAATGTTAATACATCTGGGCAGTTTTGTTGCTTTAGATTAAAGTATTCCTTACCAGCAGAAACAAAGCAGAATTGACTCAGTGGCTAAGAGAAGTACAGAGGATCTGATCTTCTAAATGCCAGTCACTAACCAGCCATTCTCAGAAAGTTCCCTCAGGTCCCAAACTCAGCTGCTAATTTCCCCTCTTTTCTCTGAAACAGCATCTATGGAAATTTGCACTTACTTTGTTGGGGTTTCTGCAGTGTCTACACCTTCACACATTTACTCTTATCTCATGTCTTCCCTACGTGGTTTCTAAATTCTTCATTCTTGTATGACTCTTTGAATAATATTTTCCTTCCAGCTAGCTGCCAAATTCTTATCCTATTCCTTTCTAAAAGGCAAATCAGGCTCAGCAAGATGGTTCAGCAGGCAAAAGTGCTTGCGGAGCAAGCCTGGAACCTGAGTTCAACCTCCAGAACACACATAAAGGTGGAAGACGAGAACTTCTCCACAACGTTGTCTTCTGACCTCCACAAATGTGCTGTGGCATGTGCACCACCAGGGACACCCCCACCCCCACCATATCCCAGCGCTTTTCATATACTAATGAGGAGGAAATAAAGTTATTTTCTATAGTCGAGAAAGTGAATTTTATCAGATAGTGCAGCAAAAGTGTGTAACCAGTAAAGTCACATATTGTTGATACCCAGAAACAAGAACAATTAATGAAGTAACATCCCTCTTTGGTGTTCTGAAAGAGATACACTGAAATTGGAAAATAATTCAGCTAGTAGCAAATTATGTGCACAAGTAGGTTTTCTAATATTGTTTTATAGAAAACAATAATATCATGTGTTGGAAGAAGAGAATACAGTTTTATTTTTGTTTATTATTTGAGGCAGGGTCTCATGCATCCCATGTCAGCTTCAAACTTGTTGTGTAGCAGAGGGTGACCTTGAACTTTGATCCTTATGCCTAACCAAGTGCTGAGATTACAGATGTGCACCACTACATCTGTGTTTGGGCTTTTGAGGGGATCAAACCTAGGACTGTGTATACCACTACTTTCCCAAAGAAACACCCTTCTGTTGATTCTACACCCAAAGCAGCTCAGTTATGCACTGCAAAAAGCTGTTATTAATGGGGCTAGAGTGACAGCTAGGTTGGTAAGTGCCTGTTGCATAAGTGTGAAGTCAGAGTTCAAACCCAGCACCTATGTAAAAAGCCTGGCATAGGAGAATAGGCTTATAATCCCAGAAATGGGAGGAGTATCAGGGGATCCCTTGGGCTTCATGACCAGCCAGCCTACTCTAAATTGTGAGATCCAGGTTGCAGTGACAGAACATATCTCAAACAAAGTTAATGGCTCCTGAGGAATAACACCCAAGGTCAAATTTTATCCTCCACATGTACCTGCACTTAGGCATTAGTACACACATGTATGAATTGAATAATGACCCATCATACACAAATAATTAAATAAAAGTAAATAAATAAAAATAAAGAATTTGAAAAAAGTCATTATTGATTTTTTTTAGTATTTTCTTTTTATTTTATATGCATGCGTGTATTACCTGTGTATAAGTGCACAATACCCACACGGAAGAGGGCATCAGATCCCCTGGAACTGGAGTTATAGATGGTTGTTAGTCAACATCTGTGTGCTGGGATTCAAACCCAGGACTTCTCCAAGAACAGCCAGTGCGTTTAACTGCTAAGCCAGGTCTCCAGTCCCTGAAAACACCATTATTAAGCCACACTGTGTGTGCTGAGGAAGAAGGGATGGATAAACAAACTTTTAATTTCACAGAATTCACAAGAAAGAGAGTGAGAAAACAACTTTTCCTTCATCTGCCCTGTGCTGGTTTTCTTTCTTTACATCACTGATCCTTCACAAATCCTAGGTATTCAGTATGAAGTTAGAATATTGAGTACCCAAAAAGTAATGCATAAATTATATATATATATAATATATATTTACATACATGAGTTTTTAATTATATATGTTTTATACTGCATTTTAATATTATTTATATATAATTGCATAATGTATCAACATATTAGTATATATGGTAAATCACCTCTTCTACATCAATTACCTTAAATGAGTAAAGATACTAACTCAAGAGCGTGAGGCCCTCCCATAGCAATTTAGCTGGAGACTTCTCTTGCAGAGTTAACTTTCTGAGCATCTTGGCTCCGGAGTATGGACCCAGCTCCCTCTCCAAAGGTACTCACAGAGCTCTTTGGTCCTGAGATTTCAGTTACTGTATCATCGCCCTAGCAGCCCATGTACCGTGCACTGGTTTTCATTCCTGACATTGGTTACCGTTTTGGAAATCATGATATTTCTTGACGTCTTTACCAAAGAGCTTTTATTTTATTTTACTTTTTAGCCATACATACAAATTTATTGGCAATTGAACAGAAATTCAGTGTTGGCCTCTTTTTTAAATTATTTATTTTAATTTTGTGTGTATGAGTGTGTTTGAGGGTCTGTGAAGCCATCCTGGTGAATAAGTCCAAAATAGGAAGTCCATTCCTGGTATTGGACTTTTCATTTGCTACCCTGTGGTATTTGACAGGCATTGTCCTTCCATTACAGGACAATTTTATTCAAAGTTTTTATACTGTGTGTATTTTAAGAAGCTTCTACAGTACATTTGCACATGACTTTTACAAAAGGCTTTTAATGTTAGTATGCCTCCTCATAACCCAGCCACTATCCTGACCTCCCATCCCCTACTATAGAGTTTTATTTCAAATTTTTGGGGCATCGTTGTCCTGAGCAGGAATTCCAGAACTGCCTGAACAGTACCCTCCCAACTCCTCTCCTCAGCTCTGTTCCCACTACTGGAGCAGGCAAAGTAGCTGCTGGGGGCTGGCCAAGAAGCATCGAGTCCTCCTGAGAAGCCTCAGCCTTTGCTACCTTCCAGGAAGAAAGAACAGCACAGTATTCAACCCAAAGCATAATGAGAAGCAAAGGCCTAGAGGCTTCCCCAGGCAAGAGGCACAGAAAGAACTGTGGGTCCCACACTCTTGGCAAGCAGCCTGGAGGGACAATCGTTTGTTCATATGTGTCCTTTTAATGGAATAATATTGAAGCCAAATAAACAGGGGACACTCATGCTCAGGTTCAATCTTCCATTGTTTGTAGCCTGGGAGAGTGCTGTGCCTGAAAGTCAGGATGCCAGAGAGCTGTGTGCATTGAAAAGATTCCCAGAACCCAACAGAGGGATTCCAGGAACTATAATATCAAAGCACTGAATCACCACCAGCAGCAAGAACTCCTGCCACCCACTCTAGTGCTGGCTGTTGTTAAGTATAACTTGACTCTGGCAATGGAAGGGACCCTAGATTCCTGTAAGGTGACACAAAGTGGAGTTTGAGAGCCAGAGAGAGGAATATCCCATTGAATGCCAATTGTTGGTGACGCTCAAGGAAGTGGACTTCTGTGTCACAGAGAAGACAACTTAGACGTGGACAAAGCAACCTACATATACAAAAGCTAAAAGCAAATAGAAACACAGAATAAGGAAATGCTTCGTAGACTCAAATAATTTGAAATTTACACTTAAACTTCTACCTGGAACAGAAAGTTGACAGAGGCCAATAAAGAGGTAAAATAAGGTGTGTTAGGAAGGTTATGTAGAAGAGACAGTTCAGAACAGATAGAAAAAAAAATGTGATTAAATAGGAAACATACATATCCAAGGAACCTGATTCAGAAATCCAGGAGCCTTGAAGGCAGACTGAGAGTTGAAAGAGAATGAAGCAGGGAAGTCACTACCTAAGCAAAGAGATTACACGTAAAAATGAATCACTAACTAAAAACAAACCTCTAGCTAAATTCTTATTCCAAGGGCAGCAAGAAAGCATGCAAGCACAAACTAAGTAATACCAGCCACAAAATCAGACCAAATATTTCAACCACAAACCTAAAAATTAGATCACAAATGATTATGTAAAACCAGCGAGATTACAAAATTCCCAACAACACACACACACATACCCAGAGAGAGAGAGAGACAGAGAGACAGAGACAGAGGCAGAGAGACAGAGAGAGAGAGAGACAGAGACAATCTATTCTTAGCAAAATCATATTCACCTGTTATAAGAAAGGCATTCTGTGGCCAGTCTAGGAATAAGTGACTGTGTTACTTATACACAAGATCTTGAGAAAAATACTAAAATAATGAGTCACCAAGAACTGGAAGGAGGAAGTGATGGAGAAGACCCTTGGTGAGCTGTAACGTGGGTAACCCTAAGGAGATCCTGGGGCCGGTGCTGGCAGGAGCATCTACAGGGTTCAGGCTGCCATCTCCTGGAACTTGTCTCAATATCACCTTGGAGGAAACTGCTACAGACAGATTAAAATTCTCCCTGGAATTCAGAACTATTGCTTTCCCAGGCCTATGGCTATATTTCAAATTCCAAGCAGGATGAAAACCCAAAAATGTCCCCAAACTAAATCTAACCTGGATATGGTAACTTTATCCTACTAAGAGCAACAAAGTGTAATCTGGTGTTAAGACAGAAAAGAAAGAAACAGAAATACCTAAGAGCCTAACTTCTGAATTTTCTTTTTAAGTCCATTTTTATTTTCACAACTTTATTGTTTTACTTATTGTAGAAAAAAGGCAAATACAGAAGAATTTAAAGAAAATAAAAATTAGTATCCCTCCAACAACAGGATAAGATTATATCACTTCCTTCTAGTCTTTTTTACATTTATATAACATTAAAGAAAAGTAATACTGTAAAATGCTTATGCTTTTTTTTCCAGTTCATAGTATAGAGTGACCATTTCTATATGTG